CCTAGAAGCAAATATTACTCTAGTACCAAAACCTGAGAAGGACCAACTGAAAAAGAGAACTATAGACCAATCTCCCTAGTGAACACAGATGCAAAAATCCTCAATAAAATATTGGCAAATAGGATGCAGCAAATCATCAAGAAGATCATACACCATGACCAAGTGGGATTCATCCCAGGCATGCAGGGATGTTTCAACATATGTAAATCAATAAATGTAATCCACCGTATCAATAGAGCCAAAAGTAAGAATCACATGATCATTTCTATAGATGCAGAAAAAGCTTCTGATAAGGTCCAACATTCATTTATGATAAGAACATTGCAGAAAATTGGAATTGGAATACATGGTCTTTACCTCAACATAATAAAGGCCATCTATGACAAACCAACAGCCAGTATCATACTAAACGGCCAAAAATTGAAGACCTTTACTTTAAAATCAAGCACAAGACAAGAATGTCCCTTATCACTGCTCATATTTAATATAGTACTGGAAATACTAGCCAGAGCAATTAGACAAGAGAGAGAAATTAAAGGTGTAAAGATAGGAAAAGAAGAAGTTAAGTTATTATTATTTGCAGATGACATGATACTCTACATAGAAGACCCCCAAAGCTCCATTGAAAGACTCCTAGATATAATAAATAAATTCAGCAATGTGGCTGGATACAAAATCAATACTCAAAAAATCAATAGCATTCCTAAACACTAACAACAAAATCTCAGAGAGGGAAATAAGAGAAGCCACACCCTTCACACGAGCAACCAAAAAATGAAATATTTAGTAATTACTCTTATGAAAGACACGAATGACCTATCCAGGGAAAATTATAATACACTGAAAAATGAAATTTAAGATGATCTCAGAAAATGGAAACACATCCCTTGCTCATGGGTAGGAAGAATAAATATTGTGAAAATGGCCATTCTCCCAAAACTGTTACACAGATTCAATGCAATCCTGATAATAATGCCATCAACATATTTTATAGATCTTGAGAAATCACTCCTAAAATTCATGTGGAGCGAGAAGAGACCTAGAATAGCAAGGACAGTTCTAAGCAGCAAAGGCAAGGCAGAAGGCATCACAATCTCTGACTTGAAGTTATACTACAAAGCAACTGTAGTAAAATCAACATGGTACTGGAACCAAAACAGAGCCGAAGATCAGTGGAATAGATTAGGAGATTCAACCACAACTACAAACACACTCAATCACCTTATCTTTGATAAAGGGGCCAAACATGTTCACTGGAAGAACGACAGTCTCTTTAATAAATGGTTTTGGAAAAACTGGCTCTCCATATGCCGTAAACTAAAACTAGATTCATGCCTATCACCATGTACTAAAATAAAATCTAAATGGATCAAAGATCTAAATATTAAAACAGAAACACTAGATCTATTGGAAGACAAATTGGGTAAAAACCTTGAAGACATAGGGGAGGTAGAGAATTCATGAACAAGACTCAAACCGCAGGGGAAATACTTCCCACAGTCAATAATTGGGATCACCTCTTATTAAAAAGTTTTTGCATGTCAAAAGAAATCTCCAACATAGTGAAAAGAAAACCCACAAACTGGGAAAAAATCTTAGTGAGCTGCCCCTCAGACAAAGGACTTCTGTCTAAAACATATAAAGAATTAAAAAAAAATCAGACCCCCAAAATTCAAAGACCCAATCCAAAAATGAGCATCTGAGATGAATAAACAATTCTCAGATGAAGAAATACAAATGGCAAATAAATACATGAAAAAATGTTCATCATCATTAGTCATTAGAGAAATGCCAATTAAAACCACACTGAGATTCCATCTCACTCCTGAAAGAATGGTCAGGATCAAGACAACCACCAACAACAAATGCTGGAGAGGCTGCGGGGGAAAAAGGAACTCTCCTGCAAACTGGTGCAACCATTGTGCGGTCAGTCTGGAGATTTCCAGAAAGCTGGGATTGGAAGCCCCTTCCATTCCTAGGCATATTCCCAGAAGAACTGAAAGCATCATACCACAGTGATATATGTGCACCCATGTTTATAGCAGCACAATTTATAATAGCCAGATCTTTGAAACAGCCTAAGTATCCATCAACTGAGGAGTGGATAAAAAGTTGTGGTATTTTTATACAATGGAGTACTACTCAGCTATAAAGAATGATCACATTGAGATATTTATAAATAAATGGATGCAGCTTGAGACCATACTCATAAGTGAGATAAAGCAAACTCACATGTGTAAATACCAAATAGTTTCCCTAGTGTAAGAAATGATAACAATATATAAAAGTATGTGGTAATCATGATTCCCAATCATACTGGCTTGAAGCCATATAATGTTTTCACTCATTAATTGGAATGGTTTTAATCTGGGTTGTTTGATTTTATTGTCTGTGATAGTACAAATAGCAATTTTGGAGAAAACAAGACATCATAATTGCTAGTGCTGATTTAATATCATCTTGCCTTGAAGCTCCATCAAGCTGTTATTCGTTGGTTTCCATGGGTTTTAGCATGTTGTGTCTTATTATATTTTACTATATGTGATAGTATAAACAAAATTTTTTGTAGGCAAAGAGATAATATAGAAACTGTTGTTTGTTTTCTGTTAGCTGGTTCTAAATACCCTGTAATTCTTACATTCTCTTGAATGGCTTCACACTGTCTTAATATGTTTGATGCTATAGTATATGAAGTTATACTCAAATAATTCAAGAAAAGAGACACTATGGTGACTACTATTATTTCAGGTTATCTGGTGGTGAAACACAATGATGCTTAAATTGTTCAGTTCTGACCTGTGTTGTTCTGTTACTATGTCCTCTTTTATCTCAATCTCCCACTTTTTAAAATTAATTTATTTTTTCTTGTTTTTTAATTAAGGGAAAACTAAATTAAAAAATAGTGGGACATATTACAGTAACGTTTTTGTTTTCCTATTAACCTGATTCGAACCCCAGTATTGCTTTCCCCATCTTGTTCTGTCTCATTTTACTATATTCTGTTTTGTTTGATAGTAAGTTTGAGGGTATAGGCAGCCACTTTAAAGGCAGTAAGATTTACTATGGTGCCCATTATGGTTTGAGTATTGTCTTCTTTTGAAGTCCTGTAAGGTCTCCAGTGTAGGTTTTATTGGTCTTTTTCTGTACTGTTTTGTTCAATTCTATTATACCTGATGATATGGGCAACTCTTTTCAAGATAGCAAGAGGCATAATGGTAATCATTTTTGATCACCTGGTATTTTATTTTTGCATCATATACTATTTCCATCCTTCTGTTCTGACTCTGTTTTGTTTTGTCACATTTGATTTTATTCTCTTCAAAAAAAGGTAATAAGAACTATGGGAGTAATAAAATCCAAAAAGTGTAATTGTTGTTGTAAAAAGAGAGGAAAAGAAAGTGGCCTAAAGGATATAACTGCATGTATATTTAAGTGTGTAGGATAGAAAACTATATTACTGAGTTTTTGTTGGATCATTGAACAGAACTGGCTGCAATCTCACTGTATAAATGTCCACTTTGTATGATTTAATTGTGTAATTTGGACAACTGTTTCTAAGATGACAACTTAATTAGCGATTTCTTACTGTATATTTTTTTCTTGAAATTCTGTACTACTTGTACCCTTTTACTGCTTTGTTTTTTTCTCTTTTTAAATAAAAAAGAATTAAAAACATCATACTACCACGATATACGTGCACCCATGTTTATATCAGCACAATTTCTAATAGCTAATCTTGGAAACAACCTAAATACTTATCAACTGAGGAATGGATAGAAAAGATATTTAAAAAAAAATGTAATGAAGTAGTAGTCATAAAGAAAGAAAACTTGAGACTTTTATAAGAAAATGGGTGCTGCTTGAAACCATGCTCATAAGTAAAATAAATCAGACCCACAAGTGCAAACATCGCATTGACTCACTAGTGTGAGATCTGGAAAAGGAAACAAGATCCAAGATCTACAACAGAAGAGCCAGTATAGGACGGCAAGAGTGTGGTGGGGCACAACTATAATTTCAGCACCCAGGAGGCTAAGGCAGGAAGATTATTGAGTTCAAGGCCAATCTGGGCTAAGACATCCTGTCTCAAAAAACAAAAACAAAAGCAACCAAAGTATAATAAAATAGAAAGCAAAATAATTCATATCTCTTAGGATGGGGATGCAGGACAATTAGATCAGTTAGTAGAGATAGCAGGGCCGAGTCACACATGGCCTGCTTTGCAAGGATGAATCCTTCGTCTATAAAATTTTGAAGAAGTTCTGAGAGAGAGCTACTGACCAATTTGTGCATGGATGTCAACATCTTACCAAGCAGGATGGTAGAACTTCTACACAAACTGAACCCCAGCACTGGGGGTAGCACTTTCTCCTGTCTGGTGGCAGTAGAGGAAAGGAAGGCTTCGCTACATCCCCAATTACTCCTCAATCTACAGTCCCAAATTCACCTTGAAAAAGTTTCCTTCTGCAGTGGGGTGGCCTGCATGAGGCCAGCCCAGGGCCTCACCAAATCCATGCTGGGCAGAGGCAGCATCTGTGCTCAGCTCACTCACAATGGCCCAGGAGGGCAACTTCATTTCTCTATTTGCAGACGAGGAAGCAAGGGCCTGCAGAGTCTGCTCCTTGTTCCCCTCTCCCACTCCCAGCTTGTCCTTTTCTGAGAGGGGAGATGAAAACCCATCCTGTGCCAACAGCATGAGGAGCAGTTCCCAGCATCACCAGAAGCTCACTCACCCACACACAGCCTGTAGCAGAGTCTCCTCCCAGACCAAGGAGAAACCTGAAGCACAGTTCAGGAAATCCCAAGTCTGTACAAAGTCATAGGTGATCCTACCCACCATCAAAGGCTTCATGCAGAACCAAGCTGGCTCTGAGGGTCTGGACTCTCAGCATAGCACAGCCTCTAGAGGGTCGCCACTATCAATGCACTGTGCGCACGTGGTGTGGCTACTCTGCCCCAGCCAGAAGCCCATGGGTCCGGCCTTCCCCAGACAGCCTTACCCAGGAGCAAATAGCATGAGAGCCAGAAAAGGACGGCAAGATTTTGTAGCCAGCGCTCCCAAGGCACTAACAGAGGCACAAACTCCACCATGCTGGCCAAGCTCAGGCTGTAAAGGCTCTGTTGAGCTGCAGGCTGTGTGAGCCCATTAAAAATAGGGCCTTATGCTGTCTGGTCCCGCCCACTGGTGACACCTCTGGCCATGCCCAGGCAGGGCCCAATTTCCTACAAGAAACTTTTGAGTCTACGCCCCGGGGCCTGGCTAAAAAAAGGAGAACAAAAAGGAGCAGTCCAACCCTTATCAGCCTCCTTCCTAATGCCTTATCTACAGGGGTCACTTCTTTGCTCTTCTAAACAACTTGGCAAAAAAACAAAAAAACAAAAAACCAAAAAACCCAACAACTTGGCAGGTGATGCCCAGGCATGGCACAGTCCCTTCTGCTCAGTTACCTTTTTTAGCTTGTTTCCTCTCTCCTGTGTCCCTTTTCCCCTCCAAGAACATACCACAATAGCTTTCATCTAGAAATCTCCAAGCACACCATCTCCTCCACCTGCTAACCACTTCTTTGCTCACTGCCCAGCAAAACTTTTAGAAGGCTTTCTGTGCTCTTGCTTTTCCAAGCTCACTTCCCATCTGTCCCCTCCTACTCCACACTGGTGTGTTTTGTACTTATGGTACTGTTTTGACAGATAAAAATGAAAACAGAAGCTCTTTGAGACATGGGCTTCCAAACAATTCCAACCTCCTGATGAAAATCAGTGGATGCTTATTTTAACAAAGGTGTTTGAAAGGTTCGTGCCCTAGTAGAAATTACTGTACAATCATGGAGTGGTCTAACATGACGGAAGGCCAAAGTTGGAACACTTACCCCTTTCTGCTTCTTCTTCATCCCTAATTGCAACTCTCCTTTCTGTTCACAGGCACAGAGAATTCCAATCAGTTCCTCACTTGTTATCAATATCCGCTCCATGTGCCACTTCAATCCAGGGTCATATAACTCTGTGCCCCTTCTGTATCTGGTCAAAGGAGACAGCCCTGCCGCCATGGGTTGTGTGCTCCTTCCCACATCCTCAAATCAATAAACCTGTTACTTTTGTAGTTTTACTTGTCTGTTGTACCAGAATATTCTAACATTATTGTGCCATTGATTCGGATCCCAGCGTGTATTAGCTCCTGGGAATCACTCCCAGTTTGAGCTACCCTGCCAATGAACGGTCTTCTTTTTCCTGGACTGTTTACTTGCCACTGTGATCCACATGCAACAGCGAGCTTTCTCATTCCTCACAGTTGAGAGTTTTCTGTTTCCATTCCTAAAATTTGCAAGCTTGTGTCAGAAAACCTATGCATTGCCATTCATGAACAGAGGTAGCAGTTTTCACCTGCTTTAGGCCGTACAGCCTGAGGCAAAACTGTTACCTTTGTTTCCTGAGAACTCGCCTCTCACTTTTGGTGATGCACTCTTTGGTGACTGCAGGGGAGAACCCTAATGGGTGTTGGGACTTTCCCTGTCATGCTTTTAAAACAGATGAAGACTTCTTTTGATAGGTGTGATTCAGGACAGGTTGTACATTCCTTGTAGGAGAGCTAAAGTTCTTATGTCCTGAAGCAAATTTGTTCTCTCAGCTCGCCTATAATTTGGTTATGGGGACCATTGCCTATCTCCCAAAACACACTTCTGAGGTGCATGGTTCATAAGCTTGGTGCTCTTGGCCTGGAAAAGACTATAAAAATCAAAAAAGCAGATATTTTATTTACACTTTTGTCATAATGGTGGCAAGTTGGCAGAAATCCTTTATTTTTAGGCCTTTTTCACTTCGAGGATGTGTCTTTCTCTCACTCTGTCTTGAATGATGGCCCAAATACTTCTGGCTTGCTCTTCTCCACCAGGAACTCTCCCTTCCTCCCCACTAGACCCTTTAGATGATCCATCCCCAGTCTTACAGCTCCTCCCTGTTTCTCCAAGACCAAATCCTGCAGCTTTCTCAGCCAGAGATTTCTGTGCCCCCTGTGCCATCCTCCTCCATTTCCTCACTCCCAGTGGCCTTTAATCCTGCCCTTAGTTTCTCTCTCCAGTCTCAGATTTCCTGATCCCCTCCACCTGAGCCATTTGTTCCACTGAATGGCTATTCTTCTTTGTCCCCTGCTCCTGCATTGCCATTCTCCCCACTGGCTCACCATACTTGGTTTTGTGCATTTCAGCCACCTAGCAGGCCACGTGGCATTTGACCGCCAATTTGTGATCCCATACCACATGTTCTCCAGCATCCATCTTACTGTAGTTCACATGGAGGACAGCCGCCATCTTGCAGCCCTCTGCCAACTGAGAGTGTGCTGCTATCTTGCAACAGGTCACAGGGTAAATAGCCACCATCTGTGGTCCCTTGTCATGAGACGAGCAACAGTTATCTAATTGTGGGTCTCATGGTTATTGTACTCTATTTAAAGAACAGGGCCCCATGATGAAAAACGGGGCAAGACCCCAAGATGACAAACGGGGCAAGACATCTTTTTTAAAAGAAGCGCTTTTATTTTAGCTGGCCCAGCGACACAGTGCAGATGGAATTTGCAAAGCTGTGCAACTGAGTTAGAGTTTTGACTGATTTTTATAGTTCATTTATGATTAGCTCATTGATCATTAAGTACATAGTGATGAGAAACAGAAATAAGGTGGGCCTTTGTTCCCCTTTGCTTGAGGTAAGAAGCATTTCACAGTGGGTGGTTAGCCAATTCATAGCCCTTGGTCTGCCAATTCCAGGAACATTTGTCTCTCATAAAGGGAACAATGGTTGACATAGCATCATTTGTCTCTTACAAGGGTAACAAAAGTTGACATTGCACACAGGTCACTAAGGTAGGGGGGATGACGCATTACAGAACAGCAGAACGAGGCGGTCAGTTAATTTATAACTATGTGGTTGGTGCTTGGTTACTAGGGTAATGAGCTCAGTACAGAATGAAAATATTACTAATAACTACCCTTTTAAGTAACTATTTTTGTTAATTATCTTTTAATCAATTATTTTAATTTTTAGCATCTTAGTATAACATTCCCCACTGATTTTTGTCAGTGAACCAAATCATTGGCTCATGGAATTTTTAAGCAGTGGTATTTGTTCATAAACTTGTGTCCTTAAAACCATGAGTTTTATTGTTTGAACCTGGTCTTTGACCTAATTTACTAATCTGTTTATAATGTAAGGTCCAATTGTTAAACAAGTAAGTAAGATTAACAGAGGTTTGGAGGCTGTTATGATTAATGTTGTCAACCAGGGTTATAGAGAAAACCATCATTTAAACCAATTCTGTTTAGCTTTTCTGGCTTGTTTTCATTTTTGTAGCTGTCTTTTAAGACTGGCCATACTTTGTCTGATAACCCCATAATGATTGGCATACAAACAACAATTTTTTTTTTAATGCCAGACAAAGGCCTCCTTCCTTTAGGAACAGGAGATCTAGACCCTGCTGGTTTTGTAAAACCATCTCAGTCAGTGAACCTAAAGAATCGTCTAATTTGGAGACAGAGTCACTAAGGGCTGCTAAATCTTGATCAATGAGTGTATGTAAGTGTCTATAATTTTGGTCTTTTGACTATTAGGCTGGACACTCTTAAACCTATTGACCTTGTTATCTCAATTTTTAGTAATACAGGTAATAATACAGGATTTTATTTTGTTCTTACTGGATTCTTTAAGTCAAAGCTAGGGAACAAGTGACTCTTACCATTATCTCTAGAGTACCAATACACTTGGGGAAAGCTATGGACTAATATGTAAAGCTCAGGGCACTGGGTGAACAGGTGATGCATGGAACAAGGAGTTATATTAGAAGTACAGGCAAACCAGGCTCCATTGGGAGCAACAAGGTGTTGATTAGCAGGATAGGAAAAAATATAAATCAAAGCTGAAGAGGTAGGATTACAGAGTGCAGCATAAGGGGAAGTGTGCAAGGAGTAGGAGGCAGAGTAAACACAGATTCCTGGAGCACCCTGTACATTGTCCAGTGTGAGCAGGGGCTTAGCATCCCACCAAAAAAAGGTGCCGTCTATACAGGAATTTAAAAGTTGATTTGTCATAAGCAATGTCCAGAGGCAAGAAGGGGCTAGAGATGGTGCAGAAATCGCAGAGGGCAAAAAGGTCTCTGGAGCAGGAAGTCTAGTGGAGGAGAACAGAAGATTGGGTCTCCAGAGTGAGGAAAAAGGTAATGACCCCCTTTATTTTTCTGTCAAGGAGATACAAATTTACAACCCCAATGTCTACAAAAATATTTAGTCTCTATGGACTGTGAACACCTATGATCAGAGGCTGGCTGTTGCTTTTGGGGACAAAGATACCAGCCAGTGGACTGTAATTTTTTTTGAATACATAGGTCCCTGTAAGTCTCTATTAGCAACCAATCAGGCAGCATGACATGCAAACCCAACAACATTTTTTTGTCTAATTTTTTCTGGGATGTTATCTAATAGGGAACATAAATCTATCTTAATTATCTCATAGACAGTAGCATTGGCTACCAATAATTTACCAGTGAAATAGTAATTTTAAGTTTTAAACAGTGGGTTACAAGGTATCTTCTTGGCGTCTCCATAAGGAATAACACTTAAGAACAAGATTATCAGATACATTTGGCAATCTTAAGCTTTAAGGAATCCTTGGAGGGAACAACAGTCCACTTATCTGTAGGTTGATCGCTGTCAGAGGCCAGAACTGGCTTGAGGTGGCAGTGATGAATCGAGGCAGGCTTTTTCGTGACTTTGACGGCAGTCAGAGTGCTGAGGACCATGGTGTAGAGGTCTTCTCACCATGGTTTGAGAGGCTCACGGTGATGTCTCTTGATGAGTAGTGTCCTAGGTTTCACTGCGGGATGTTTATCCTCAGGATGGGCTGTAGGTAGAGGTTGTTGTTCTCGGAATAACTGATGGATGGGAGTCAGAGCTTAGCTGAAGGGCCTGGAGGAACTTAACAAGATCTTGATTAGCCAGACCAGCTAATTTTTTTTTTTTTTTAGAAATCTTAGAAATAAGAGCTCCCACGTAGAACTTTAAAGGGGAAACAACTGTAACATAGGGGGCACATTGTGCATGCAAGAGGGCAAA